TCCAATCTCTGCATAAAACTCGGAGACAAATTTACAATGAACAAAGAAACAAAAAAAAAAGATTAATTTGGGGGTAGACAGGAAAATCACCGCTTCACCTCAATTCTGAGAGAAGAGAAGCAGAGAAGTTGTAGAGAAGGAGTTAATTTACACTCTGAAACACAGAAATATCCGAATTTTCTTTGATTTTGACACACTTAAAACATTTAGAAAACTTAATTTAAAGCAGGTTTAAAGAAATTTTTTAATTATGGAGTTCACAGCGTTCGAAAACGAGAAAATCTGGTCATTTTGAACGATTTTCAAGACTTTGAGCTGTTTTTTTTGGGCTTGGTTTTTGCAAACGCATTTTTTCTGGTGCTCTAAGTTTTTTGATTTCTCTCGAAAACAGGTAATTATGAAAAGAAAAACAACAAAATAGATGATTTGGGTGAAATCCGTTACTTTGTGTACTTTGAAATGTCGCGTAACTCAACTATCTCCATCGTATTTTTAAATAAACGACCATTATCAAGAAAAATTCAGGATTTCAGTCTACTAAGAAGGGTGCGTTTGCAAAAATTTCATCAAAAGTACACAGTTAAGGACTTGTTTCTTATACTTAAAACCTTTGGACCTAAAATCTCGGGTTCTGAAGGTTCTAACTCAAAAAAACTGATCTAACTAGTTATCTTTTTAAGGAAAAGTAGTCATGCAACAAAAAATATAATAACACTTTTCTCTCTCGACACAAACCTTTGAATAGGAAGTGCTCGAAAGCAAATTGCTTTCCTGAAAAGAAGAGAAATTGGAAAGAATTGGGAAAGATTGGTGATAAGAAGAAGTGAAAAGGTTTTAAAATCAGAAATTAAAAGTGAAAAAGACATTGAACTTTGTACTTTTCATTATTTAACCGTAGTCTGATATTTGTTTTTGGCAAACTTTATCCGAACACTGACTCTGGTTGTTACTCGAAAGCAAGCTTCAATTAAACTGAGTTTAACTGAGTCATGTCCAGTTACCGTAATCCAGCCATGTTCATAGATCTATGTGCTTCCTAAGACAAGCTGGTTAATGTTGCAGTCATCACGACTACAGTTTCAATTGGGCTACTGTATACCTAACTTTTTGTGCTCTACATTTTATCCATTGACGTGAAGATAGGTTTCCTTAGCTAAAGTGTCTAATTTAATCGATTTCACCTATTGACATCATCGAACCATCGCTCTTTTTGACTAACCGACTTTACACTCCCAAAATAATCGTGACACTTATGTCATTTACGTTTATTTACGATATACATCAATCACAATACAACAACACAGACAATACTAGGCTATTTCTTAACTTAACTCACTCCATGACAGACGGCTCTCTAACCCTAAGCTCAATGGGGAACGAAATAGCTTTTTTTGTGGTGGAGAGAAGATGACAATGAATGAGAGACTTGTCACTTTGAAGAACTGGGGCCACAACCACTAGACAGACTACCCTCCAGAAAACCTCTCAACCCGAAGGCAAAGGAAATCCGAAGGGCGCAACAATGTCGCATGCGGGGCTCAAACCCTCGACCTTCCGATTAAGATAAAAGACACTTAATCAGTCAGCCACACGTGATCATTAGTACGAAAAGGAACGAAAAGACTTTCGGGACAGCCTTCTCACCGAAACGATGTCTACAGTATGGGTCTTGTGCTTTGGGAGATTGTTGAACGAAGGTGAATGGACTTTCGTCCAAGAAATTTTATCAGTGATAACTGTTTATCTAAAACAAATTTTATCGCAGAATTTGAACAATTTGACACTTTTCTTTCAGAACCGTCCTCTCCGAGTATGGTTTGAAGCATTTTGATCACGAGCGATTTCTCCTCAATGTCTTTACAAATAAATGAATGAAACTGGATTCAGCAAACTGTCAAGATTCCATTAAAAACATAATTCACAGGTTCGTCATTTCAGAAGCTTAGCTGAATCAGTTTTAGATGTGTTGACTTCGATCATTGTCAGAGACCAATGGCCGCAGAGATTTTCGAGAATCTACTTGGGATCAAAGAGGTTTCGCTTTGATTCAAACGATTAAAAATAAACTTTAGAAAGAGCTTAACTTTAAGAAATTTGACGAGTTACCATTTATCGATGAGGATCAAAGGAAACGACTTCGACCAATTGGCTTTGATAATACAATGGGCCGAGCTGTGGTGAATGTTAATAGTATCTCTGGAGTGCCTGACATTCATTTTGATTCCGAATCTACTGATCAAAATTCAAAAGAATTAAGAGGCTTAAAGCTTGAGAATCCTTCGAAGAATTTGAATCCCACCGTTCGTCCGGTATTCCTCAAAAAAGTTGAGGTCCTTGGCCAGGCAGAGAGACAGAATTTCTTGCAAAACATTCCAGCGCTGATCACTCAAACCGAGAATCTGAGTGAACCTTTCAATGAATATAATTTTGACACTGACTCAAGAAGAATGAATTCTAGAAAGAACACGATCAACGAGCTGTTCCACGAGATTTTACGTACCGACTATGAAGACCAGATTCTAGCATATGAGAAAGCGTTTAACCTTTTGGAAAACATGGGCAAACGCAGTTTTTCCTACTGGTCATACTATCGTTACATTGATGAAACGGTGAAAGATATGGAATTCTTAAAGAAAACATATTACACAAAAAGAATTCACTTCAAAGCCTTTTTCTCTCAATCAACCAAAGAGGAATGGTTATTGATCAATGAACATGCAAATCACTTTATTAATAGGGAGCTTGATCGAGTCGAGAAGTTTGAAGGGGAATGGTTAGATGATTCGGATGGGAAAACGTTTCTCGTTCAATCTCAGAACAAGTCCAATTATTGGGCAAAGAAGAAAGCAAAGAAGTCGATTGTTGAGCGTTATTCGGAGAATCAACTCTTCTATTCTCATCTCGAACCGATCGATCTTTACATGGTGATTGAAGGCGCTTGAAAGAGCAAAAGAAAAACTGAAACGTTTCACCAAATTTCAGATCGAGAACTTTGTTCCAGTGTTTATTCGAGAAAAGGAAGCACCAAAATGGAAGGTGCCAATTGTTGCTTACATTTTTCAGCTCAGAAATCCGCCAAGATTGCCTTGTGCTTGTCAACTGAGATGTTCACTGAAATTCGGTGTTCCTGATGATTCTGAATATCCATTTCCCAAAAAGATGCAAATTCCGTACTATGAATGCACAGAACAGCCTTTTATTGAATTGTTACAAAATTATACAGAATTTGGAGAAGCCCTGAACGATCAATTGAAAGTGAGAGAAGGAGGATCGATGACTGACCCGTTTAGGGGTGATCCTCTTCAAAAATTGTCTTTAAAGTCTACAGACAATTTCGATGAGGTTGGCGCATTTCTTTTCCTGCGATGCCCAAGTGATACCGGTAAAAGTGGGAAAAGGAAAAGAGAAGAGACATATTTTGTTCTACTCGATCATCCGAAAAACTATAAAACTGGTGAGAAAATCCCTTGTTTTGATTATTGGTTTAATTTCTACAGAATTGACGTAAAAGAAGTTGATGAGCATTTCGAAAAGTTGACTTCATGGGACAAATCCCTGGTTTCGATTGACTTGGAAATGAACGCACGCATTGTGAACCTGGAGGATGAGGGAACAATGGCGATATTTGCTAGACGCAATGAGATTTGATGTGTTAAAACATTAGCTATTGTATTCTTATCATAAACTTTTTGTTCCAAATTCATTGAGATTTTCAAGAAACAAGAGTATTTTAACGTTATGAAATGCGAAATTCTTCGTGATTTCTGTTTCAACGCTCGACTCTTTTCGAACTTTTATTAAAAAAATCCTTGAACCTTCTTAGTTCATAAAATTCTCTAGCCACGGATCAGTTCTGATAAAAACTTTCAGTGAGTAAAACAGCATACCGTAAATGTTGTATTAGAATGACACCGCCTGACTCCTCGAAATTTTGACTTTAGACCCACCTTGTGGGTGTTCTTTGAATAGATCTAAGCCTAAAACTTACTAATATTTTATCGGCAGTAAAATTTAAAACACTATTGTTGGAAAAATAGAAAAATAACATTTTGAAAAAAGAATATAAGGGTCCCCCAAATGGATTTTTTTTTGGAGATTCAAAGGGGTTCGCGGTTAAGAAAATAGTTTCATTTTTAAACGTGTTTTTTGTACGATTTGGATTTGGGCCATCATTTAAAATAGTTTTTAATGAATTCTAAATTTTTGAATCATGTGGTCCCCCTTACCTACTTTTTGGAACGGTCGATTTTGAGGCGTTGAGAAATAGAACGACATGTCATTGAATTAGGTTGGCGGGCAAATAATGCGAGTTTTTTGTGACCCGAATTATTATTTTGAAAAAAACAATAAATAAAGAGGATTACAATAAAAGGTATTCTCCATTATTATTGAGGACATCAGGCCATCTTTTGCTCAATTCAGTAATTCCATCTTCAAAGAACTGGAGACTTTTTGACGAAGAATAGTTGGTGTTCGGATAATGTGTGTGGATTTATCAGAAGTATTTCACAACTAATACAGTGCAAATCTCTGTCTGTTTTTAAATTTGGCTTTCCCCTCCTTTCCCTTTATTTTTCGTGGTAAGAAATCCGTTTTTTTGCTTCGGAAAAAATGTCTCGTTTGATTTTGTCTTCTCTCATCAATTATGCCTCTTTGGTAGCCGTTTCCTTTAATTTTCCTTAATGGTCCTATTTGGCAAAAACCGCTTCTTGGTACAAGGTTTGGTGGATGTTGTGAACCAGGATTATCTTCTTCTCAGGGCTTTCGATCAAAAAATGTCATTCGATGAAGGACTAGGCTAGGTCAACAAATTAGTTCAGCTTCCAGGCACACTGGCTTTTTGGCCTGGCACAAGCCTACTCTGGTCTGGCTGATCTGGGCCCAGCCTGGGTTATCCTGAAGTCTGACCTAGCCCTAATCTAGCTCAGAACGAGTCCAATCTGACCTTCTCTTTGGCTTGTCTTTGATCTCTATTCATTAGATTAAAAGTTGTCACCTTAGACTTTTTTAATCTCACTCACCGTTGACGTCATCGCTATACAATGCGTTCCAATTCCCAGCAAATATTCCTGATCTCTCAACACATCCGGCAAATAATTATAATTCCTGAGCGCATTGTAAGCAACCGACCAGAACCAGCTAAAAGGAAACTTATCTATCAAATGTTTCAATTAACAAAGCAGGGAGTCATTCAAGTCTTGAGCTTACAGCTTAAACGTTTGAAAACAAACCTAGCTGAAAAGACGACCACCATCGCAATCAACATCCAATTCGTTTTTTGTCTTTTCTTCAAAGCTATTCTTTGTTGATCTGTGAGATTTGCTTCCCAATTGCATGAGCCATGCTTTTAAGTGCCTTTTAGGATCATACTCTAAAAGTTGAAAGATTACCACTTAAATCTTCATTCCCCACTTGTCCAATCCTTAGCGAGATTGCCGTATATGAGATAATGATAATGGTGAACGGGATCACGAATTACATGATCAAAAGGACACCACCATAGATTCTGTAATGGGTTTTCATGGTGGTAGATCGTGATACAAAGATCTTAGACTTTAAAATAAAAAGTTTTGCTCACTTCCGTTCTGATCTCCTCCATCGGTCGGGTCTCCCCCAAACCTCTGTGCAAAATTCGCCGCAAAAGTTTGGGAATGGCCCGAGACGTTGCTTGAGCATTGTTGGCAGTGAGATTAGTGAGGCGAAAGTGGCGAATCCCTGAAGATTCAGTTCTTGAACCAGTCATTGATAGTTGGCCTGTTTTTTCCCTACTTTTTCTACTTTTTCTACTACTTTTTCTTGCCAATTCTTTATTCTTTATCCAATTCTACTTCTTTATTTCCCTATCTGCAGTCAAACTCACCGCAATGACCCTCAATGCGTGTTTAATTCTTAATGGTTTCTTTATCTGATGTCGGATCAAAATATTTCGATCGACGGAGATCGCTGTTAATGTGAAAGTGGAGAAGACGGGGGTGATGCCCTGGAGTGGGTAAGTTGTAAATGAAATTTGGCCCATGTTTTGGATCCTATCCAATCCGACTTCAACTATTTTGTTCATTCGCCAGTTTGGTCCTATTGCCTAATTCACCCAATGAATGCAATCCAAATCGGTTCTTTTAACGAACTAAACTTTGATTTATTTACCCAATTGGTTTAGTTACCCATTGGTAGTCAGTCTTCATGCAATCCTTCGATTCAATTAAACGCCCAGAATAGTTGAACTACAATTACTACAATACAATTTAATAGGTTCGGTAGACTAGCAGACTATCCACAAGACCACCGAAGCAGTCATCAGGGAAGCTTGTGACGGCCTCTTCAAAGGCTGGAAGGCTCGAAGATGAAGAAAAGATGGTGATATTTTATGCCACACATGATATTTTTTTTTCAAATGTCTCACGTTTGCGAAGCGTTCTGCAAAAAAATAAAAATGAATTCGGGCTCCCCATGGCCGACTCTATAAGATGGATTTGGTCTCGAGTCAAAAGGACAGCTTGACTCGGTGCTTTTCCCTTGTAAGAGAAGGATGATTTTGAAAACTACCTTCATTCTTATTTTCTCCCTCTCAACTTTCTCCTTCGCTTAAAATCCGTATTCGATGATGAGATCTGTATTGAAGGCAATAAAATCTGACAACAAGGTTACGGTAGTTCTCGGAATTGGTCACCTTTTAGAAGCGAATGGGGTATACAAAATTGCAAAAACGCCACAATTTTGCCATCAATGATTCCCGTTTGCAGGTAATCGTTTCGAAGCTTTCCTCCGGCCTCTCCGATCATGGTGACGAGGATCGTGAGTGTCTTGTCCCGTCAACTCCCTCTTCAATGTCCTTCAATGTCATTTAGTAATAACATATCAATGAGAATAATAAATTTATTTGACTATGGATTTAAATGAATATCTGCAGAACGAAAAAGAAACAGAAACTCGTTTAAAATTGAGGGAAAATAGTGGAAAAACTAAAACTAACTAATAACTAGGTTTGAGTACATTGACCATGTTTCATCTTTTAGAATAAGTTTGAAACTGTTTATGAAGATTATAAAAGTTCCATTCTAATTCCCTTTTGGTGAAAATCTGGTTTAAAAGCCTTCTATTATTTGTGTGTGTTGATCTGAAAATTGCATTTATTACTGAGAAGGGGCAGAAAGTACCTTTTATGCTGGGTTTTGTGAACATTTCAAGAATGAAGAACCATCCATTTGGATAAAAATTTTATTGATTTGCAAAAAAATGAAAGAAATCAAATAGCCTAAAGATACATAAAGTTCAAAAATTTCACTAGTAAAATATAAAGTCTACAAGTTGTGAAGTCAGGAAGACTAGGGCTAGAATACAAAGTAACACGCATTTTTCTCTCTATTTTAATGACTTCTTTATATTCCACTACTAATTCTAACCTCTTGTTGGTTATCGAATTGGACAAAGGAAGCCGAATTCTGCCACACTCTCAAACTCAAGCCATTTTGTTTTTGGATTCCCTTGAATATCAATCAAGCGGATGTAGATCCATCCATCATCCTTGATCAAAGCATAGACACTCTCTTTGTGCTTTGACCCTTCAAAGTATTCTCTTAATACCCCAGCCTCAATATGATGAAGTTTCTCCTTGAGATCCAATCCAGGAATACTTTCCCCATCTTCATAATTATTTGGATGATCCAAGAGGATCAAAAATGGTATATCTAAGAGATTTTGACAGCAAAGAAATAGAAATGGACGTTCCATAAGAACAAAGGTGACATCTCTATCAGATCTTATACAATCTATGTAGCTTTCCAAAACCGAAATCTCATTTTCCGTGATTTCACCACATACTGGAATGTGCAATTCCTGGGGTAAATCTGACCATCTTTCCATTTTTTTAAACTCATCCATTTGACATTTCTTTGAATGATTCTTTTGACAAATTGGACGAGGAGGATTTCTTAATTGGAATAGGTAGTGGGGGAAGGGATGGGGCCCATAAAATCTCTTATCTTCAGAAGAGTCATCCAGAATTGATTCAATATTAAACGGAACATTATTTTTCTCCGAATTCTCTATTGGAATCAGATATTTCAAGTGTACTTTTATAATCGTTTCCATTCCTTTTTGTTGTTTTTTGAATGCCTTAATTATTCGTCCAGGAGGGATTTGTTTGTAATGGGAGAAATGAAACATTTCATGTTTTTTGTCTTCATGTTCAATTTCATAGCTCCGGATTTCGGCTCTTGGATTGTCTACCCATTGTCCTGATATTCGTTTCCAAAATCTTAAGTCTTCACTTACAAACTCATCCAAATATAAATGAATCCATCTCTCACCAGTCAATTGAGAAATAAAACATCGAAAATAGAAATTTGTTGTGTATTTCTCTCTCTTTATTTCTTTCAAGATGTTCATCCAATACTCACACCGCCGCCAATTTTCAAAACTTGACATCCAAATCTCCTCGTGACTTTTAAGAGCTTCAAAAGCGTCGTTTTCTCTCCAGAGCTGTCTTCGAAAATCTTCCAAAAGAAACAATTCAAATAATTCAGAAATATTCTTTTGACGTAGATTCTCCATCTTTACTTCTATCTCCAATATTTCCCCAATCACATAACGAGCATCTTTGAATGTCTGAGTTTCTTCTTTTAATCTTGAAACAATATTTGGTGCTTCTTTGTAGAATTGCTCTCTTTTAGCAGAATTTAATGTTCGGAGTTTATCCCGCATTCTCCTACCCCATCTATCCTCCTTGAATCTCTTTTTATATTTTCTTTCTTCAGATTCAACCATAACCCATTCTTTTCTATCATCAAATCCAATTGGTTTCATCAGTTCTTTTTGGTTTTTATCTTCTTTGGGCATAAAAGGAAGTGAAGAGATGAATGGATTTGCCTAGGTTATTAAATTTGAGGAGTTTTGAATTTCAACAAAAACGAAACTTATTAAACTATTCGGTTCGGAAGTATGAAACTTTATACGCAAATTTATTTTTATTTTCATATTTTCGGATATTTTCATCGCCACCGATCTATCGCTGTGTGCCGTCGCAATTTATTGAAAGAAAGAAGAACTTTAGTGACGGAACACGGATTTACATACCTTGTGAACTTAAGTCAACCTCAATCTGCGAGATTTCATATTTTGCAACCCACTATCATAGCAAACCAGCAAAGCAACTTCTTCGAGAAAAGCTTACTTTATATGTTCTAAGGAAATCCACAACTTCAGAAGCTGGTGGACGATGAATACGTTGAAAATTAGTACATCTGATCGTTGGATTCTTGAATATAAAAGAAAATCTTAAATCCAAACCTCAATATAATTTTTCGAATTTCTGATTGACAGTCAGCTGATTGGATTTCAGTAACACGTTTGAGTGCAATATCAAGCAATAATTGATCACGATCAAACACTCCAGATACCTCATAGTTTGTAAAAATGGTTCTGAAACAATAAGTATGTTGTTTTGAAATCTTATAAATATCCCAAAGGAGGTCACTATTTAAACATGAATACCTTCTTTCGATGATTTCCCACATAACAAGTCCGAGACTGTAGACGTCATTTCGATGGGAATCCTGGAATGAATATATGTTATCATGGGGTAGAAAAGAAGTTAAAACGAACCGATGCATCAGCCTCCTTTATTTGTTCATAAACATCCCGTTGTACCCCATCCTCTTTCCTTTCAGGTGGACTCATATATCGTGGTGTTCCAATAAACGTCCCCGTAACAGTTCCATCTCCCACAACTTTTACCAATCCGAAGTCACCAATCTTCAGCTGGTATTCATTGGTGACAAAAATGCTATAAATGAATTGAAATTCGACATTTATGCCACTGAATATTACTTGTCTGGTTTGATATCTCGATGTACCAATTTGTGTTTCAGATACATGTGATCAACGGCATCAAATAATTGGATTCCCCAGGTGAGAACAGTGTTCATTGAATATGTGATTGTTGGATCAAAGATCACTAAACTCTAAGATGAAATAATACCAGTCCAATCCCAACCTCCCTTGAGTGGTCCCTTCTGACAATATTCCATTACAATTCCCACTCTTTTCCCTTCTTCTGTGTATCGATACAATCGGACAATATTTTCATGATAAATCTTCTTCAAAGCTTCACATTCATTTTTGAAGATCTTCAATCCTTGAGCATTTCCACAAAGCATATATTTGATCACAGCTGGGCTAAACAAAGAATCTTATGGTACAATGCAACCTCTATAAAACACTTAATGTTGAAAATAGCAGTGAATAGATCCAAAATAACCAACGGTTCGTGTCGAATTAATTCATACACTTCTCCATATGCTCCTTGCCCAATACACTCTCCCAATTCCAATTGATCAGATGTTGTCATTTCTCACAGATAAGGCTTTAACCTAAACATCTACTGAATGAAAGTCGATATGAAAAAATAAACGAAAAGAAAAAAGAAAGCAGCTGGAAGATGAGAGCAAAAACCTTTGCAATAAAGGGATGCCCTATTTTTTCTTCTCTCCACTCTATTCCCATATTGATTGATTTTGGGTTTTGGGAAAAGGAGAGGGATATGATAACAATAAACTCAATCTTATTAGTTAATTCAATACTTTTGTTTATCTTAAATTTGACTTTAGTCCAAGAATTTCTTAAAAAAAATTAGAAAATTCTGGTAGCAATAAATCTAACCCAGCCAACCGCACAAAATATTATTCTGTAGACAAAGAAGAAAAAAGGTTCACGGTGTTAAACTTTTTTCAGAGAGTCACAAAATATATTTTTTTCATTTGTTTTCCTGACTCAACCACTGTCTTTGACGTCGAACAACGTCGAAGTACTGTAGTTTGTGGTTTAAAAGGGGGGAAATTAGGTTGAAAATTCATTCTGATTTAATTGCAGCAGGTTATTACGTTAGTAGAGTCATTGAGATGTTGATTTACAGCTTTATTATATATTTTTTTGGTTATGCTGCTGGCTGAGAAACGGGAGACCGTGCTCCAGGCCCGTTTTGAATGTTTAAAATGAGCGTCAGGGTTAAATTTTTGAACTTAGCTTATCCTAACTATACTATGGTTTGATTCAAACTGATAGATAGACGGCTAAAAACATACAGGCCTAAAATGTCTCTCTTAGTCATGTTTGATCATGTTTGGTTGGCTTTTGGACACCTGTTCTTTGCTTTTTTTAAGAAAAGAAAAATGAGAGCCAGAAAGAG